ATGCATCAGTCTTGATAGGTACGGAGGAAATGCATTGATGAACAGGGTGATTGGAGGGGGGGGGGTGGTAATGAGGGATATATGCCACACCTGTAATATTCAGCACCAAGGAAAGATGGTGCTGAGTCCTAGCCATGCAAGACATAGAGTCTGGAGCAACTAAAGCATCTTCAGGGGAGAGAGGACCTGCGGGCAAAAAACCTGCTCCTGTAGAGCTCTATTTGCCTTTCTCTAAAAGAGATGACCTGGAAGTGCTGATATGCTCCAAGCCCTGCTCTTGATGGACACTTTCCACTAAATTCAGCAGCCCTGGGGAACAGCCACAGAACATAGGCTGGTTTCACGGGAACTTGTCAGCAGGTTCTGCGACCCATTAACTTGAACATTCATGAAATTATTTTGGGCACTTCAAGCAAACCCTATAACTGTCAAAACCCAGTATTTTAAGCAACAAGGGGGTTATATTTAAAAATAAATATCTTGTATGTAGATACAAGGCCTCTGGAAACCTCCTGCACAAGTTAGTTTGAACAAATATGTGAATGTAATAACAGGAGTTGCACTTCCAAGGTACTGCCACATTTTTTAATACTGACATGCATTGTATGAAGGAGCTGACAGCTGGGTTTCTAGGGCATCTCAGGAATTGTAATCTGCTGTACTAGTCACCTTGAGTATCCAAGCCACACATTGTTTGATTAAATGAGGACTACAGGCCAAAAGGCAATAAGCCAAAAAGTGAGACCAGCATCTTTACCTATAAGTTCCCTTTGTGGTTTTCAGTACTCGGGAGGAGGGAGTGTCTCTTGAGACCACCAGTTTTGAGGCCTTATAACAAAAGACTACGATTGTGCGTTGTCAAAGCCACTAAACTTATGCGAACATGGATTTGCTCCAGCTGGAGTTTTAGGTTTTAAAAAAAGTGTAAAGAGAAGAAGCATTTGAGCATTACTTGCCAATATATGTAATGCTGCATAACTTCATCCATTTATAAACAAGCATTCAACTCCAGGTTTACACTTCTCTGCTTCTTATTGCCCTGCCCTGTGGTGTGATCTTGGGAAATAGATTTTTACATTTTATTTGCTTTCATCTTAACTGTATTTTAAATGCTCTAAATTTACAAATATGAGTCTAATATGAGATTATGTTCCTTCTCCTCCCTCAAACTTTTGAAGGGGCCAATGCTTTCCAACTTTTGCAGGTTAGACTGCTGCAGTTTGTTTTGTCTTGTGGTCAAAGTTTTCCTTAGAGCCTCCCATACTCCATATTTCTCCCCTCAGTGAAATAATTATTTGTTGTGGTGCTGTAAAATGAACAGCTAAGAACAGCATGGAGATGTACCAGTCAAGAGCATCCCTTAGTGTGTGGATCCAGGAGTTCCTTAAATTGTAAATATAATGGTTCACTCTTGTCTGTCTTTCTGCATGCCAGTAGTCTCTGCCTTTCCTGCATGCATGTGGTCATTTATTCCATATGATAACATGTTATGCATGCTTATCTTTCCAGGGCAGTAGGTATGACACCTGTTTTGCAGATATAAGAAGGATACTCATGGACTCTTGTGCTGAAGTTAGATTTTTAATTTTTTTTTTCCAGTTTAGAGATTATAGTCCTGTACTTTGCTCTCAGGATCAGGCTGCTAAAGAAGTTACATAATTCATTAATAGTTTGAGGCACACCCATGCCCCCTGTATATGCAAACTCATTTTCAGTTGCAGTACTTTGGTTCTGCCCCCCCACCCAATGTTATCACTCTTTGAGGATGATGTGTTCATGTCCAGGTTTCAGATGAAAGAACCTTATGCATTTTTATATTCTTAAGCTTCAAAATTACAGCTGTCAGTCGCTCTGTATTCTTGGTAGAGGGGGGAAAATGTCATTCAGTTTGAGGAGAGACTTGTACATTTGTAACCTGCCTACAATGAGGAGGAGGATCCATTTACACACCATGCTGGATGACCGATGAATTAAAGCTACATCACTTGACACACAAACTAATAAAAAGTTTATTTCTAAGATGCAGAGCATGGCTATTCCTCAGGGTTTCTCATCATTGCTGGTTGATTTGAGCATGTTTCCTGGAATCCAAGGGGATGTCTATGCTGCAATAGCTGAAGCTAGTGTGGGCTTCCTTGAGCTTGCAGTTACCATAGCATAGAGGTATCCCAACTCTGTTATATTAAATACTCGGGCACTGTAGTACAGCTAGGCTTTACATTTGGAGCTCACAAATTTGGTTTTTGTTGGGGTTTTTTTGTTGTTTTTAACAAAAGTAATAAGGGGGGCTGGTAGGGACACTTGGAGGTGGCTGCCACAGGTGTTCCTTAGGGTAAGGCAGAACTATCTGGTCTTTGGTTTTGTAGCTTCAAGAGACCTTGTGTGTAGAGACCTGTATGAATCCAGCAACTCCCTTTAAAACTGAGAAACCTGGGAATCTGTGTCTGAACCCAACATCATTCTTGATCCTTATCTTAGCCAGAAAGCTAGTTTTTATTTCTTGAGCTAACAGAGGAGTGAGGGGCAGGTGTTTAGGCATCTGCATAGATGTTGAGGTAGCTGCTATGTCTCTGGATGGTAGGGACAGCTGGTCGCCATTGTAAGAACTTTCCTAGAGGTGAGTGGCCTGCATGCACCAGCCTTTCTGTAGGAGTAAGAATACATAATACTCTAATAGTCTATAGCATAGATCCAGCTGCACTGGTTCTTCTAGTATTAACCCAGAGTCCACAGCCTCAGCCCCAGACTGAGGTGGGGGAAGGTGATCTCTGCACTTCCACCTCCCCTGAGAAGATCCTAAGGCCCAGTTACATAAATCCATTTGATGACTGGGCCCCTCACAAATGCAGGAACCAGGGAGAGGTTAATTAAGATGATTTAATTTCTCTATGGAGAAGTGGGAGCTGTTTCCTGATGCTTTCTTTTTCCCCCATCCCAAAAGAGACAACAGGAGAGGTGTGAAAGAACAGCCTCTCTGGGCCTCATTTTAGCCTGAACTATAACTGGCTTTAGTATTTTGTTATGCAAATCTAATCTGGTCATTATCTTCTAGAAATTTTGGGTAGAGAAAATGCTAAACCATTCCTTTATGGTATATATGGTAACCATTCCTTTCTGTATATGTACAGCCACCGTAATACCATGTTTAAGCACCACTGTGTCTGAGTGGGTATGCTGATATTTGCCTTGGGACAACTGCTGGTGGACTGACTTGGAGATTATTTTTAGACCATAAAGACAAACCTTCCTTTTCGGGGAAGGGAACAGGTTTAGTTTCAGAAGTTGTAGAATCGAACAGAACATACAGGTCTCCATCCTGAAGGTCTTAAAGATGGATCAAATCCTCATTTTGAGCTGTGTCATCCCACTCTGACCGTTCTTGGGCCCCAGTGCTTAAATCTATCATTTGTTAGTAAAGCCTCCCACTGTAAATGAGTTGTGCTTTACCCTGCTGTCATTGGAGTCCACCTGCCATGACAGAGCACAGTTCTGCTTCTTTCCCAAGTTCTGCCTTTGGGACTCTACTGTGAATCTGATGCAGTTTCTAAAATAATTTTGTAATAAAACTTCAGGAGTTGGGAGGAGCAAGCTTCCTTCTTCTGTGTATCAGCTTGTTTAGAGAACTGCTCAGTATTTGTATGTTTGCTGATGCCTGTTTTTTGAATACTGTGCTCCCTAAAGAATCACTACAGCAGTGTTGCCGTTTGATACATGTAAATAAATTTTTTTTTCTCCTGCTTATTTCCTGTTCTCTTAATTTTATGGAACTATCTAGCACTTAAACTCAAGCTTGGTTATGTGCCTATGCATGGCAGAAAGATGGTCTCTGGTCCAAGCATGTTATGATATTGATGTTGGGACTCGGGTCCCTTCTGACCCTAGAAACTATGAAACTATGTCAAGCCTTACAGACATAGCAGCACCTATGCAGAGCCCTGCTGATTTGTTGGTATGCAGGATTGTCTAGTTTCCTCGTGCAGTTGTCTCCATAGCGGGGTGGGAAATGGAAAATGCTTTTTAAGGAAATACCACTCTACGGATTGCGACTTAATTGGTCGTGGTTTAAATTGCATCAGAATCTATAACGAGCTGTGTGGCAAAAGATCAAACCTTGCATGCAGGCACACTAATGTTCCTAATTCAGTAACTGAGAATTTAAACAGTAAGTAAGCCTACTCATACTCTCCCTTTTTCTTCAGCCCCAGTTCTTGCCTTAAACCAGATATGAGGGACATCAGGCATCATACAGCTCCCAGTGCCTGGAACGGGTCAATAAAAGCAACCTCTCTGAGGACAGCAGCAGCTATAGCCTTTTCTCTTAGCAGCAGCTGCAATGGTAAGAGGACTACAATAGAGGTTAGGTTGAGATCCCTGCAACTCTTAGCTAGTCCATGTTCTGGATATGGAGAAATGAGGCAGCAGGTCTCATGCAGCACCTTCCTGTCCTGTTGCTAGAACAACAGGGCCAAAGGCAGTGAAGTTTGGCTGTAGCTGCCCTCTCTCATCAAGGAAGAATATACTGAAGTGACAGGACAGTGTTCCTCTTCCCCAGTTTTGCACAATCCCCACCACCAAGAGAGGGTCTCATTTTTGTAAAAAAAAAAAAA